AAAAACAGCAATATTGTGAAATATTATTACAATTTAAAACCACTGTTTTCTATGTGAATATATTATAAAATGTGATTTATTTCTGTGATGCAAAGCTGAATTTTCAGCAGCTATTACTCCAGTCTTCAGAAATCATTCTGATATGCTAATTTGCTGCTCAAGAAACATTTCTCATTATCATCAGTGATGGTAACATGATTATTTACATAAAATACTTTCAAATGTGGAGTGTCACAGAGAATTCTGGGAATATCAGTTTGCAGTTTTTGACTGTAAATTGTATGCTACCAGTCAAAAGTTTTTGAACAGTAAGATTTTTAATGTTTTTTAAAGAAACATTGCTTCTGCTCACCGAGCCTGCATTTATTTGATCCAAAGTACAGCAAAATCAGTAATATTGTGAAAAAAAATTACTATTTAAAATAACTGCTTTCTATTTTAATATTTTAAAATGTAATTTATTCCTGTGATTTCAAAGCTGAATTTTTAGCATCATTACTCAAATCTTCAGTGTCACATGATCCTTCAGAAATCATTTTAATGTTGATTTGCTGTTCAAGAAACATTATTATTATTATTATTATTATTATCATCATCAATATTTAAAACAGTTGAGTATAATTTTTTTTCAGAAAGATCCAAAGATCAGCGTTTATCTGAAATAAAAAACCTTTTGTAACATGACACACTATACCATTCAAAAACTTGGAGTCAGTATAATTTTTTTTTTTTTTTGGAAAGAAATGATTGAAATTAATACTTTTATTTAACAAGGACGCTTTAAATTGATCAAAAGTGATGATAAAGACATTTATAATGTTACAAAATATTTCTCTTTCAGATAAATGCTGTTCTTCGGAACTTTCTATTCTTTAAAGAAACCTGAGTAAAAAAAAATGTACACAGCTGTTTTCAACAACAACAACAACAATAATAATAATAATAATAAATGATTTTTTGAGCAGCAAATCAGAATATTACAATGGTTTCTGAAGGATCATGTGACTGGAGTAATGATGCTGAAAATCAGCTTTGAAATCACAGAAATAAATTACATTTTAACATATATTCAAATAGAAAACAGTTATTTTAAATAGTAAAAATATTTCAAAATTTTACTATTTTCGCTGTACTTTGGCTCAAATAAATTCAGGCTTGGTGAGCTTCTTTAAAAACATTAAAAATCTTACTGTTCAAAAACTTGACTGGTAGTGTACGTTGATTTGTTCCTTTTTACTTCGAAAAACTGTACAATTAACATAATTTTACTGTAAAATTACATGAAATGTCTGATTAGATCTTTTACAGTTTTTCCTTGTGTATAGTATGGGAACTTAGTGTTAACCTATTAACAGTTTCTTTTCATCAAATAATATTGAAAAAAATCACCGTTTCTACAAACATATTAACTGTTTTCAATAACTAATATAAGGATTTGAATTTAATAATAATAAATGTTACCTGAGCACCAGATCAGCACATTAGAATGATTTCTGAAGGATCATGTGACACTGAAGACTGCAGTAATGACTGCTGAAAATTCAGCTTTGCATCACAGGAATGAATTACACTTTTACTATATATTCACATAGAACAGTTATTTTAAATTACAACAATATTGAAAAATATTACTGTTTTGTATAAAAAATTTTATCAAATAAACGCAACCTTGAGACTTCTTTCAAAAACCTTTCAAGTATCTTACTGACCCCACACTTTTTCAACAGTAGTGTGTGTGTGTACATATACGTGCTTGGTTGCAAAGCTCTGAACTACAGTAAAGCTGCATATCAGTCCTCTAAAGCGTCTTTAAACTCAACTCTCTTGTCTCTATTCGTTTTCTCCCTCCCCCTTCCATCCCTCCTCCTGCATGCTGTTTAAAAGGCTTTTAATGGCCGTGTGTAGTGGCCGTTTTGACACTTCCTGAGCTGATGGGGCTCTCTAAAGCAAAGATGTGCCGCATGACACTCTGATTGTATGGGCATTACCATCTGTGAACCTCCTCAACGACCCTGATAACATCAGCACACTGATCACAGTCTGACTCTCACACACACGCCAACATCTCTCCTTTAGTCCCTTCTGCTGCATTTCTCACCTTAGCTTAACTTCATTTAATGCTAGTGTAGATCTCTGCTGTTAATGTATTTTGACATCTGGTGAGAAAGAACAAGATTAAATATGACCTATTGTCACTAAACTTGCAATCTGAAAGGAATCACAGCAGCACTTTGGGCAGGAAATTCTTTTTTTGATTTTTTTTTTTTACGGGCAAAAAACACATAACATAGTAATTGCCCATTGCTTTAGACTAAATTTGTCAGTCTTCCAAGTATTTGATTATAATTTTTTTACATTTATTTTTTACATTTATTTTTCATTTCCAACATTATTTTTTATTTTTTTTTCACGAGAAAATGGAAAAACTTACGTCACAGAAATGTAACAGTGGGCCTTAACACTCATCAATTTGTAATGTTATTTATACAACAAAGCACATTAGATAATTCCTAGATGAACTTTTCAAATGAATTGCCTGTTTCAGGTATTATACAAGTATACGATTTGAATTAGGGTTTCTTCAAGTCGCTTCAGTCATTGTTGTCTCAGGTGTTGATTTATTATTACATCAATTAAAACAACCCAGTTTCAGCTATTTTCTTTGTTACACAATGTAAAAATTTTAGATCAAATTTAAATCCCATTTTAAACTATTGTGGATTTTTTTTTTTTTACACTTGCCTTCATTTATTTATTTTTTCTACTTTTCAAGTCCTACTTTTGTAATTACAGATTCTATTGTTAAACTTTTGTCCTAGAACCAAGCTTTTTAATTTTGAAACGGAAAATCCGTCATAAAATTATTTATTACATTCAAAATCATAATAGTGGTCTTTTAAAAAATTTATTCTGATCCAGAAGTGCTCATAAGTGAAGAAACGCACATCAGTCTTTTGGTTTCATAGGGTTAAAACCATTGAACATAATTATCATCAATATGATTTGCTGATCAGGTGACTTTTGGTCAAATCTGAACATTTAACCTTCAATCACAAAATCTGCCTAGGTAATAAAAACTACAATGCTGTGTTGCTCCCCCTGCTGGACAAGATGAGGAACTGAATTATCTTATGTGCTGCAGGCCATGGCTGTGTTCGAAATGCCATACTATCATACTACTCTTACTATTTCTGCAGTATCCAGTATGTATGCTGTGCATAGTATGCAAATTTTCTGTATGCATGTAATACCCGGATGACCTACTATATTCGCCAGAATCTGCTAAATATAACTCAAGTACACTGAAATCAGTACAGAAGCTGTTCGGAATGGCATACTACCATACTATATTGCAGTATGCTGTGTGTATACTGTGAATAGTATGTGAATTTCTGTATGCATGGAATGCCCGGATTACCTGCTACATTGGCAGAAATTTGATGTATGCATCTGAAGACGCTGCATGGGATACTGTTTCCTAGAACGCAATGCGCTCCATATGACGTTTCATCTTCAAACGCGTGAGTGAACTGGAGGTGGGGAATGGTAATTATAAATGTAACACTTGTATTTGTACGTATATACATATACATGTAAACTACAAACTATCGCTGTGTATCTAAAAACAGTATGGATAGGACATAAATTGTACTTTAATCTCTACAGCACGTTTCCGATCATGAATATATCGCTTTTTAATATATCGCCACTTAGTGTAACTACCAAAAATATCAATAAAGACAGCTCAGTGTTGATTTAGTTCTGTCCAATATGTAAAGTTAATCAATTATGAAATGAGTTCAATTGGGCAATATAGCATTGTTTACTAGTATGAAGCCTTATTAACAAGCCTTAGAAACAAATGAGCTAACTGTTCTTTTTACAAAGGTAACAACCTTGACAGCTGTGCTGAATTAATGTTCAGTGTTTGTCATTTGACAGCACTTATGCATACTACTCTGAAACATTTATTGTATACTGTTTCACACACTATTCTTTAAAAAAATAGTAGGCAGTATGCACTGTGTACTGGGCAGTAAGCAGTAAGCAAGTATGCCATTTCGAACACCGCCCATATCTCACAAACAGTTATGCATTTACTAAGCAAGGTGATGTTTTTTATTTTATTTCAGGATGCGGAAGAGGCTGTGAAAATCGCAGGAGAAATTGGTAAGAGTTATTAAAATGTGGACATTTTTATAGTAGTTTTCATCTATCAAGAATAAGGTGATGTGATAAATCAAACTGAGAATTTGTGTCCGTCTCTTGAAGGCTACCCTGTCATGATAAAGGCGTCCGCAGGTGGAGGCGGGAAAGGGATGAGGATTGCCTGGAATGATGAGGAAACCAGGTGAGACGTGAGAAAAGCAGATTTAGGGATGTTTTTAAGCAGTTATCAGAACCCTGTGTAATAAGAACTCTTAAGTTTCTTATTTAAATAGTTGTAAGCTTTATTAGACTAATTAGTTAATTAATTAAATGAATTGGTTTTAGGTCAGTGGTATGAGGAATCAGGAATGGAAACAAACGAAGTAACCAGAGCTTTGTCATTTTTCATTTTGTAATCCACGTTTACATGTAGAAAACTAAGAGACAGACTGTACATATTGCCATTTACAAAGCAAGCCCTTAGATTCTCTCTGTGTGTCTCTCTCTGCCTTATCTTTCACTGTTCTTGAGAATATTAATAAAAACTTCAGTGGAACATGTTGCTGTTAATTGTGTCTTTTATTGCCGTAAGCTGACGCCAGGCTTTTGTTTAAGCTTTAATTGGATTTATCTTGCGAGGCAAAACAGTCACTCATGCAATTCAGTGGAGACAGAGACAGAGAGAGAGTGAGAGTCCTCAGGCAAATAGATGCTTATCTGCTAAAGAGGAAGCCTCTTGCCACAAATGTCAAGTTCTCCTACAACAGCCACTTGAACCGAGATCCACGCAGTTTAGCCAATTGGAGTAAGATCTGGTAGTTCACAGTCAGTCATTCGTCTCTCATTTCTCTATATGGTAGTTAAAGTTAATAATAAAAAAAACCTTATTATAACTAACCATAAACAGAAGTTAATAACGCACAAGTAGTTGATGAATAATCAAATATGACTATAAGAACATGCAATTATTCTGAACTAAAAATGTTGATTATTATCATAAAGCGATGAAGTCTTATGAAGTTTTGATATTTTGTTTCAGGGAAGGCTTTCGTTTTTCCTCTCAGGAAGCACTATCAAGTTTTGGAGATGACCGTTTACTGATTGAGAAGTTCATAGATAACCCCAGACATATTGAGATTCAGGTATTTATTGGATAATCGCCACTTTACTTGTGTGTGTGTATATATATGAACTTTTATGAATGCTTTTGTAATATTAGAATAGTAGTGTAGTCATCATGTATTTAAAGACTCAAAAATGTTAAATAAATTCAAATGATATTTTATTTCCTTCAAAATATCATGCCTAGATTCCAACTAGATTATACTCTTTCAGCCAGGTTAATGAGAGGTCCTCCTTAGAAGCTTTTTCTTGAAAGAATAAAAAAAACAATTGGGAACAAAGATTTTTAAAAATGTTTCTTTTATGCTCCCCAAGGCTGCATTTATTTAATCAAAAATATAGTAAAACTGCAATAATGTGAAATATTGTTACAATTTAAAATAATTTTTACTGACCACAAACCTTTGAGTGGTATAGTGTATCTGCTGGACACTCGTAGTTATAAATAGTCCCAGCCTGGCTTATGAATATTAATTAGATGAAACCAGTCCGGCCACCCATAGTCGTAACTGATTACTGAAAAGCAGATAAGTGGGCACTAGCTGTATTAAGACCAGTTCATTCAGTTTAAATGTGACCCTGGACCACAAAACCAGTCATAAGGGTCAATTTAAAAAAAAAAATTGAGATTTATACATCATGAATAAGCTTTCCAATTGATGCATGGTTTGTTAGGATAGGGCAATATTTGGCTGAGAAACAACTATTTTAAAATCTGGATTCTGAGGGTGCAAAAAAATCTAAATATTAAGAAAATCGCCTTTAAATTTTTCCACATTAAGTCCTTAGCAATGCATATTACTAATCAAAAATGAAATTTTGATATATTTACAAAATATCTTCATGGTACATGATCTTTCCTTAATATCCTATTGATTTTTGGCATAAAAGAAAAACCTATAATTTTGACCCATACAATGTATTGTTGGCTATTGTTACAAATATATCTGTACTACTTAAGACAAATCGAAATTCATTCTCTTGAGTGCCAACTAAAACTAAACATCTATAATATAATGATTGTTGCCCAAAATGTGGAATAGAATAGAACAGAGCACAATGTAGTAATTCTACATTTCTCATCTTCATAACTGTTTACAGTTTAAGTTAATTTTCACCCACACTTTTGCATGTATGTGTCTGGTAGACACTTTTATCCAAAGTGACTTACATTGCATACATATTTTTATCAGTTCTTGCTTTCCCTGGAAATCGAACCCATGACCTTGGTGTTGCTAGCGCTCTAATGTTTGAGCTTCAGGAAAGTCCACAAAATCATTCTGTTTATCGTTGACTAAAGAGCTTTACCTTGAGTTGCACATTCTACTCAACTAATTATAAATAAAACTTCTAGATTCACTAACATTCCTGGAGTGCAAACAGTAAAGCATGGCACTAGCAACGCAAAGGTCATTTGTTTGATTCCCAGAGAATGAATAAATGGATAATGAATGCATAATGGATTATGTTCTTTACAGTGACATGGGATTTTTCTGAGTGGCCACATTACAGATATTTGTGCCAATGGTTTCTGTTGTTGTTTGCAGGTGTTGGCAGACAAACACGGCGATGCTCTGTGGTTGAATGAGAGAGAGTGCTCCATCCAGAGAAGAAACCAGAAAGTGGTGGAGGAGGCCCCCAGGTTTGAGCAGTTTTTTTTTATCTGAAGTCAACCTGACAATTACAAAACAGTCACTGCGAAAGAACAGGGAAAAATATGGTATACACATATGACTACACCATGTTTCATAAAAATGAATTTAAAGCGATAGTTCACCCCAAAATTTAAATTTTGTCATTAATTACTCTCCCTCATGTCATTCTAAACCCGTAAGACCTGTGTTCATCTTCGGAACACAAATTAAGATATTTTTGATTAAATCTGAGAGCTCTCTGACCCTCCCATAGACAGCAAGAGTCCTAACACGATCAAGGTCCAGAAACGTAGCAAGGACATCGGTAAAATAGTTTGTGACATCAGGGGTTCAACTGTAATTTTACGAAGCTACAAAAATACTTTTTGTGTGGTGTGCCGCCATTGTGGAGAATATCACAACGCATGCGTCTGCATCCGCATCATGTAAACGACACATGTGCGTGTTATGTACCGATCTCCTTGCTATTTAGAGCTTTAACGACAATTCCGTGATACCGTGAAACTGATATTTTTGCTTAAGGTTATCATACCGTTAAAATCTCATACTGGCCCATGCCTAGTGCACACTATTGCTGAAAAACACAATCACTACTTAGCAGTCAGATGTCCGTTATTTACGAGAAGCTGCAAAAGACACAGGTGCAAGTGGAATGTAAAAAAACACGGTGACATTCATTTTTAAGTAAATATAATGGGCGAAATATATTGTGTCATCAATAACTATTGAGGTCATGTACATATATTGCGCGATAAGTCGATATATTGATTATTGCAACAGGCCTACCTTGATCGTGTTAGGACCCTTGCTGTCTATGTGAGGGTCAGAGAGCTCTCAGAATGCATCAAAAATATCTTAATTTGTGTTCCGAAGATGAACGAAGGTCTTATGGGTTTGGAACGACATAAGGGTGAGAAATTAATGACAGAATTTTCATTTTTGGGTGAACTATCCCTTTAATGTAATTCAATTATTTAATTTGGTTGATTTAATGAAATCAGTTAATTTAATTCAATCATTTAATTTAATAACATAAAACAATATAAAAGTTAAAAAAAAAAGTAAGATTTAGAGATAAATAACAAAGTACAACAAGTAAACTAACAAGAAGATAATACAGTTAAATAAACTTGACCTGCACTGGTTTCTAGCAGGTAAACAGACAGTTGTTTTCATGCTTCAGACAGATAACAGCCGAAGTGAAAGTAGGCATAGCAGTGAAAGCAGTATAGCACAGGCCTGCTCAGAAAACAGTTACCTGCTACAGCATGAGTAATTGTCAGCAAAAATTTGAACCAAAAAGTAGGCAGTGAATTCCGTTGAGAGCTGTGTGCAGATAGTACACTACCAGCCTTATGCAGCTACCTACATTAATATATGTTTGTGTTTGTATGTCTGGTTAGCACCTTTCTGGACCCAGACACCCGGAGAGCGATGGGAGAGCAGGCTGTGTCTCTGGCGAATGCAGTGAAATACTCCTCAGCTGGCACTGTGGAGTTTCTTGTCGACTCCAAGAAGAACTTCTACTTCTTGGAGATGAACACACGTCTACAGGTTTGTATGTGCAGGAGTATGTTTGAAACACCATGTTTGCTCTGTTGAAATATATGTTTTTGAAATGAGGAAAATCACAGGCAATTTATCATATAATATTGCCTGTTTGGGTGGCTTTTGAATATTGTGTTGGGCAATGGACGCCATTAAAGTCCAGGCTGAGAACCGCTGCTATTGATGAACCTTAATATCTGTTTCTTTTATTTATGGTTATGGAATAATTAAGTGCTTGTGGAAGAGAATAGTGGGACCTTTAGTTTAACATATTTAACACATTTGTATTGTAGCCTTACATTTGCTGTACAATTTGTCTGAGCCACACATTAACAACAAGACATGAATTCTAAACAGTGCTGTCTGCTCCGACCATTAGAAAAGTCTACTCTGTTGACTTAAGAGAGCTTTAATTCATGCCGTCATACAATTGTATTTCAGGTAGAATTAAATTAAATATGAAGGCCAATTATATATTAAGTTCAAGTACATTAACCACTCTGTCATTGAAAAACGTAAAACCTCTTAAAATAAAAAAAATATATATCATTTAATAAACAGTTACACATTTAAATGAAACTTTCTGTCTATTCAGTCCCCTTATTTTGGCAGCTATAAGATCCAGAAACTCTCTGTAGAAAGGCTTCCATGGTTAAGAATTGTGCTCATTCTGTCATTAAATATCCCCGTTGTAATTATGACAAAACTGCTTGATCAGTCTTTTTTTTTTTTATCAACAGAAACTGGGAGTACGTATCAGGGTTATAATAGTAAACTGAAAATTGCAAAAAAAAACTCAAATTAAAAACAAAGTTCTGTCATTTGAAATAAAATGAACGTTAATTTAAGAAGTATAAAACATTTCAATTGCCTAGTTTTCTAGGCAACTTTTTTCATTTTAATTTAGTTTAACTTGATGTACTAATATTGACAAAACACAAAAAAATTGCTAAAATCTTACTTTCAAATTAAGAAAACAGAAAATATTAATAAAAACTCTTAATAGTATCTCAATGATACTAAAATAACACTTGTACAGATGTATAAAAAGAACTGCATCAAAACAAAAACAATAGAAAAATATATAATTTTAGGGTACATCTTAACTTTTGTGCATGTTTTTTTTTTTTTTTTTTAAATAATATTATTTGGAGTGATTGAATATTAATATAAAAAAAAAAATTGCTGATACCCCCTAGTGGGCCCTGGTTGGAGGCTACTGCTTTAATGTATGATGACATGATCTGCATGAAAAGAACATACATGCAGACCTAACCTAATTAATATGACTGGAATTGTCACCATTAGCAGATCACAGATGTATTACGTGACACATAAAGAAGAACACAGCCCAGGATGAATGTTTGGAGAGATGACTTAAACTCCCGTCCCTGCATGAGCACCGAATATTAATATAAAAAAAAAAATTGCTGATACCCCCTAGTGGGCCCTGGTTGGAGGCTACTGCTTTAATGTATGATGACATGATCTGCATGAAAAGAACATACATGCAGACCTAACCTAATTAATACGACTGGAATTGTCACCATTAGCAGATCGCAGATGTATTACGTGACACATAAAGAAGAACACAGCCCAGGATGAATGTTTGGAGAGATGACTTAAACTCCCGTCCCTGCATGAGCACCACAGCTGAATGTGTCAGAGCACATACACTAGTATCTAGGAAGTGTAGTATGTCGATCTTCATCATCATTTCACTTGCCAACCTCACTAGAACCCAGAGCCACAGAGGACATCAAAGTGTCTATAAAGCTCATTAGTGTGGACCTCCCAAAGGAAAACACGCAGAATGAGGAGGGGCAGCATAGGCAGGAAAAGGGTTTAATATTTCCGCTCAGGGTTAATGACTAGTTGTTAGCGGCGCTGTCTGGTTAACAAGACTCTCTTGAACACCTATGTTAGTGTTTGAGTGCGTTTGGTGGGAGGTAATTTGTAGCCTTTTAATTCTGGTGATAGATTCCAATTTTTGCGTATTTTGGTAAAATGAGATTGATGCAGCATGTACAGTTACATTTGTACGCAGTGGTTCATGTTATGAGTATGTCTCTCTCCCTCAGGTGGAGCATCCCATCACTGAGTGTATCACAGGACTGGATCTGGTGCAGCAGATGATCCGCATTGCAAAGGGCTACAAACTCCAGCACAAACAGTCTGACATACCCATAAATGGCTGGGCCGTCGAGAGCAGAGTCTATGCTGAGGTAAACCAGCAATCAATACAGTGACTAAAGATCTTAGTATTTCTGAGATCAGTCATGGGCCAATGTAGGGCTGGACGATATGGCCAAAATTGATATCACGATATATTTCTTAATTTCGGTCGATACGATATAATTCCGATATCGATATGAACACTATTTATCTGAAATAGAAATCTTTTGTGCAGTGCTCATGTTTATTCAATGAAGTCAAACGGCACAAATAAATCAATGTATGGGAAACACTGGTAATGTATATCGAAATATCGGAAATGTGTTTAAAAATCATATCACCGTTATTGAAAAAAATTATATCGCGATACATATTGATATTGAATTATTGTCCAGCCCTAGGCCAATGTTTCAAAATGACCAAAAAATCAACAGATAATCAGGAAATTACTGCTGGTCAGAGTTTTTAAAAAAAAAATTTTAATATCTTGTCAGTTGAGTTATTATTGTACAAAATATAGTTTTAGCAATTTTGTACATTGCTCATTTGTGATTATTTCATTTATTTTTTTTTATAGTGTGTAATTTTTTTTGTCATATGTGAATCTTTTAAATATTCCCTCCCATTCAAATGTTAGAATAATAATAATGCTTTTAATTAGCAAAAAAAATACTTAAATTGATTAAAAGAGACAAAAATACATTTTATAATGGTACAAAAAATTCTATTTTAAATAAATGCTGTTTTTTAAACTCTCTATCATCAAATATATAAAAAATAAAATGTTTCAAAAAACTAAATGTATCAGTTTCCTCAAAAAAAATATTAGCAGCACAACTGTTTCTAACATTGAAAATATATATTTTTTTCTTGAGCAGCAAATCAGTATATTAGAATGATTTCTGAAGGATCATGTGACACTGACTGAAGTAATAGCTGCTGAAGTTTCAGCTTTGCATCACAGGAATAAATTACATGTTAAAATATATTTACATTTATTCAACAATTATTTTAAATGTAATAGTATTTCACAATATTACGGTTTAATTTTTCTGTACTTTTGATCAGCTAAATGCAGCCTTGATGAGCATAAAATCTTACCGATCCCAAACACTGGAACAGTAGTGTACACAAAGTCTAAAAAAAATTCCCTTTGAAAATATTACTACAACAGGAATATGAATATATATTAGTAATTGTGACGTGACATGTGGGAAATATATACTGTATGTGTGTGTATATATACTGTACATAATAAATATACACAGTACACATACATATATAATGTAAACAAAAACTTTTATTTTGCATGCGATTAATCGCGATTAATCATTTGACAGCACTGATGTGTGTGTGTATATATATTTATAGACATTACCACAGTTTATTCGCTATAGTTTAGAAAATGGTAATAAAATATGACAAGAACTTTAAACTGTGATTTAAAAAGAAACTTTCTGTGTTTAAAAAGAAAGTTAAACTGTGTCAGAACAAATTCATCTTGATAATGTTAACTTTGATAGAAAGGTATGTAACAAAACATGGTCAGGTAAAAGTGTCAAATCAAATTTTTGGTCCCAAATTTTTATCAATTTTACTGGAAGTCCATTGTATGAAGAAGTTTTGGGTATAATATGTCACAGTTTACTTTATTTTGCTATCCTCACTTAATCTATACAACTACACAAATGAACTATAGTGTCCTGCACCCACTAGTAAAAAAGCAGACGCTTTTATCCAAAGCGACTTACAGTGCATTCAGGCTATACATTTTTTATCAGTATGTGTGTTCCCTGGGAATTGAACCCCCTGCTAACACAATGCTCTACCACTGAGCCACAGGAACATATATGAAAATGTATCTTGTAAATTAATCTTCATACTGTATCTGTATTTAGTTATGTAACGGCATTAAATCTCTAGATATCACCCCATATTGGTCCCATATCTGGGATTTCAGGGCATTTGTTTGGTAGATAGGATAATCTAATGAAACCTGTAAATAACATACCCAGGTGACATTTCACCCCAGAAAAAAAGGAAAAGCTACATTGTTTTACATAAGTGATCCTAAATGAATTTAATTGACTTTGTGTGTCATTATTTTCATGACCATTAAGCTTCAGCCATTTTTGTCTGTTTTTGGGTTGAAATCTCATGATCTGGACATGTTGTTGACAGATTTGCCCACATATTTGTTTCTAATCTTCAGTAGGTCCTGTCCTATTAAAGCATTTGTCTTCATGATGATGGGTTATCCTGCCATAAAATGACGTTGAATGCTTTAACGTTCAGCTTTAAGATGATTTTCCTTTACATTTCGTTTTAAAAACAGATTAGGTGGGATGCGTAGCATTTTCACTCCTTCAACAGATCTGCTTAATCCCGGACTCACCTTAATCCGTGTCTAACAACCTGTCTTTTGTGTGCTCAGGATTATTATAGTCAGACATTTATTATATTATAAGCCTGAATAACACCTATTCAGATAATGAGAATATTGAATTCATCTATATTCAGTGAACTCACTCCAGCCCAGTGTGGGTCTTGTGTCTCATCTCATCATGTTGACACGTGCTGGCATGACCCAGTCTGGATTGCAGAAGTGTTTATGCCCGACAACAAGGAGAGAAACCAAGTAGACTGTGTTAACCCAGCTTAACTGAGCCACAGTTTGACATGAACTTTAAAGACAGACACTTGAGCTCTTGTTTCCTGTGTTTTATTTGAGAAGTAATATTTCCTCTCTTTATCTCGTTATTTTTCAGGATCCATACAAATCATTTGGTCTCCCCTCCATCGGCCGGCTGTCACAGTACCAGGAGCCACTCGACCTGCCCAATGTTAGTACTCAGATCTGTTTGGCCAATTTTTTTTCTGTTCTCTTGTGTGTGTGAGTGTGTTGTGGAGAATAGGAACAGCTTGAATCACAACCAAGCTAGAGTAATGACACTTATTCAAAACATTACTTTTTTCTCTGCCTGAGGAAAAGAAGTGTATTTGCTTCACATGAAGTGAACTGTAATTGGTATCATTTGAGGTATGTTGCTGACTAAAGTTTTAATCCTTTAAAATTAGTATCTATTTTATCTTTTGTTTTAAAAGTTAACATGGGTATTTACAATGATAATGACAGATATTTAAGGATCTAGGTTGCAAGACTGGGGCTAATTGTAACATTATATTCTAGTTATATTCTATAAATGTGTTTGTGTGTGAGATTCACACATCAGTCACTAAAGGAAGAACAGGAAGACACATTCTCTTCAATGAAAGATGGCTGGTTTCCGGGAGCTGCTCAGGACAGGATGAGCAAAATGTTTTTATTTCAGAAACACACGCACAGACATGCACGGATGAGATTTAAATGTCTAAAGAAAGCAAACATCACTGAGGATATTTACTAATTATTCTTTCATTTATAGGCAGGGCCAAAAAGATAACATTGTGTGATGTGTTCGGTGGTTATTTATAGTTTTTTGTTCTGGTGATTTTTGCTTTAAAGATGATTTTGTTTTGAAAAATCTAATGTAATGCAGGGCACACATTTTGCGAAGGAGGCGATATGAAAAATAAAAATATTTTAAAATACTTTTAGAAATACTGCTAAAGCTCTTCATGCAGGCCAGTTCGTGCATGAAGTTTTTGGGAATTCAATTTTTGAATGATAATTGTTATTTTGCTTTTCTCTTGAAGGTTCGAGTAGACAGTGGAATTCAAGAAGGAAGTGACATCAGTATCTACTATGATCCCATGATTTCTAAGGTAATAGAATAGTAATGTAAGACCATCTTAACAGTCTCATTTCATTTAAACTGTCAGACTAGTCCACTGATTTATTATTGTTGGCATTGACTAGCTGGTCACATATGGTAAAACACGTGAAGAAGCTCTGAAGAAAATGGAAGATGCACTTGATAATTATGTCATCAGAGGTACATTGCATAAATAACTTTTAAATGACAAAATATTTCAAATGCACGACATTTCTTTCATTTCCAGTTTTCTCATTCGCACAGGTGTGACCCATAACATTCCTTTACTGAGAGAGATCATTGTTCACCCTCGGTTTGTGTCTGGTGATATCAGCACTAAGTTTCTCCCGGAGGTGTATCCTGATGGGTTCAAAGGTCACATGTTAACAGCAGGAGAGCGACGGGAGCTGCTGGCTACGGCTGCGGCTCTTTATGTAGCAGCACAGCTCCGATCTCAGAAGTTCCTGGGAGATCTGAGGTGAGAGACAGATGGGGCATCTGGATTACACACACCGACACACTTGCCATTTATTTAAGCAGTCACATTACCATTTACAAGTTCTCTATGACCATTAGAGGAGTAGTTCACCCAAAAATGTTTTTTTTTTTTTTTTTTACTTTATTTTTATGGAACAGTTTGTAAGAAAACATTTTTTACATCAAAAAGAAATGAGAGAAAACAAACAATACAATACAATAGGGGGGCATACATTGTTTTATAACAAGTGTGTAAATATATGTTTACACATGTACAATATCTATAATCAATGATTATTTACATTACAGTATTCAATCACAGTATTCTTCCAATATTTTAGAAAGAAGTCCTTATTAAGTCTCAAAATAAGTCAATTCTTCCACGTTGTACATTTCTTTAACGATTTCTATCCATTCACTAAGTGAGGGGGTGTCCTGCTTATACCAACGCCTGATAATGCTCTTTTTACATGCTACACTTAATATATTTACAAGATATACATCCTCCTTCAACACGATGTCTGTAAAATTTCCAAGATACAATTTTGTGAAATCTCTTGGTATTTCATATCCTTTATCAAACAACAAGACCATGTTCCAAAAATGTCATATTTTTGCACAACTCCAGAATATATGAAGGTGGTCAACATCAACCTGACCACACATCCTCCAGCATAGTTGTGGTGTGGATAATTGTTTACTTTAGCTGGTCAAAAATGAAGATTTACTGAATATTTACTCGCCCTCGGGCCATCCAAGATGTAATGAGTTTGTTTGTTCTTGGGAACAGATTTGGAGAAATTTAGCATTACTACACTCGCTCACCAATGGATCCTCTGCAGTGAATGGGTGCCAACATTGAATGAATGTAGTGAATGGGAGTCCAAACAGCTGATAAAAACATCACAAGGAATCCAGTCCATCAATTAACATGTGAAGACATTGTAACTGTCCAAACTGCCACTTCTGGGCAAAAATGAGTCCATAATCCATAATAACGCTTCCTCCACAATGACAACACACTGACAACAATCTTAATTTCATTGCGCATGTGTTGTTTTTATGAATATTATTTGGTTTTCTACAATGTTTCAAATGTTTTTGTTTTATTAATTCTGCTGCTGCTGCAAATAAGTAACTGTGTAGCTAGTTCACATAAATGATGATGTTTTGGCAAAATTGGGAGTATAACAAATGGTAGTCTTAGTAGCATCAGAAACTTCTAAACAATCAGCAATATTTTGTACCATATGGCTAGACCTGTCGCAATAATCAATATATCGATTGCAAAGGAAAAACAAAAAGGTTGCAAATGTTGTTGTTTTTTCGTTAAGGTTTTTGAAGGAAAAATTTTTGAAAAAAGACCAGTTTTGTATTGGAGAAATGTTGGAAAATGTGAGAAAGGTGTTGAAAGTGCCAGCAGACAAAATCCTTATTGTTTAACCTTTCGTAATAATGAATAATCTAACAGGATCTTTTCTCCATCCAGCTCTACATCTGCAGCAGTTCAATGTCTCACCGTTCAATGTCTCACCGTGTTTGTAAAAGATAGCTCATGCTTCAGGGGCACCATGATCCAAATTTCTCCTTATATTTCTGTGTAAATCCCCCTTCTACTTTTCCAGGCATTAACACAATATACCAGGTTAAATACAAGGTTCAGACAATAACCTCCTAATGTACAAACAAACAGGAAATGCGCTTGGCAGTAATCTGCTTACAATTGAATCCCAGCAGGCAAGCGTACAGCACTGCAAATAAACGTTTAGTGCATTCAACTATCAAACCGCTTTCAAAGTGTAACCACAAAACAGAACTTGTATTTAATGTAACGGTCTTTTAATTGTAAATGAATTGGTTGTCGATGTACCCCTCGAACTCGGCCAATGCAACAGTCATAATTATTCTTCATCTGAAAAAGGTGACCAATTTACACTTGAAAAAAAGATGCAGAGAGGCCATCTGTCTAAACATCTCTCCAGCTTCCCCCTCCACTGTCTCTTTCTTTTCTCTTTTTTTATGTGTTCCAAAAGTTATTGGTGGGGGGTGGGCTTTCTCTTTGTAGTGAATGCAGCCCACCACAGTGGAAAAACACTGCATTCCTCCTAATACATTTACTTTAGGTCTCCTAGCTGTCAGTCAAACAGCCGGTAACCAGGTGGCTTGTCTGTGTGTGGGTTGGGGTTTAATTCATCTGTGAAGAAAATAAACTTTATAGCTAAAAATGGTTACAGAGAGATTTGTGATTGACTTAAATAGAGAGAAGGACAGTGTATTTGAAGCGCCCATCATGACTAATGATAAACTTTCTGTGTCTGTGTGTGTGTTCCAGGGTGTCCGTTGTTCCTGCAGAGAGCAGACAGTGGGAGCTGTGTGTGGAACTTGATAAAGGCGTTCACATGCTGGGTGTGTCTCGGTCTGGAAACAACTATACAGTGAGTGAAATTGTTCAAAATATTACAACTCTTGTCACATCTCAGTAGGAGCTGTGGTGCAAGACTTCATACATTAGCTCATGTGAGTTCTGGCATGTAGTGTGTCCTCATCCTATTCCTTCTCTCTCTCTTCAATAATTTCCTGTCGTTCCTGTCAAAGCCTAAAAATAATAAAATAATTGTCATGTCCCATTTACATCATTATACTAAACTAGGGATCAAGCTTCGTTAGCTTAAACAGGTTCCACACAGTAAGTACACCATCTGGACCTAATCTTTCCAGTACGACCATTCAAAAGTAGATGTGTAAAAAGTGTATTTAAGGTTTTGTTTTGTTTTGTTTTGTTTTGTTATTAGTGTTTGTATATTATTTTATTTTACTTTTACTTTTTATTTCTATCCATTCTCCAAACCACTTGTCCTGTGTAGGGTCATGGGAGATTCAGGAGCCTGTCCCAGTGTCTCCGACAATAGACAGGCCAATATTGAATGGCCAGTATTTATATTTTGTCTAATTTAATTACATTTAATCTGGAAGTGCTCTTGCAAGCTTTATTTATTTAATCATTTATTTTTTATTATTTGTCAAGACATTTTTCTGTGGCTCAGGTGGTTGACTTACAAGCTTTTGTGATTCCAATAAGCAAAGATGTCAGATTTCACACAATTTCAACAAATATTGTCCTCATTAAGTCATAACTCAACCTGCTTATCCAGTTGATTTCTGTGAGAAGGTATGTTCTCTGCTTCTGTTATAGTACTCCCAGTGAGCGCTTTTGCTCCCTCGCTAACGCTCATGTTCTTTGTGGTGATATTTGCGTTGAAATCAATCCCTCGACTCTTGAGTCTAAATCACCTTAGGATCTGTGTGTCTTCCTCTTCTGTTACCGAAAGACCCTCACAGAGTGGCCGCTCTCACACGTTCCCTAAGACGTCACTCACTAACTGTGTGTTTAGACACCTGTGGCCCTTCAGTCAGGGATAAAAGGAGCCTCGGGGGTTCAGGGGCCTCACCTGATCTCTGTGGACCCCTCTCTCTCTTGCTCTTACAGCTGAGGGCTGGATGTGTGTTTCTCTCTCAGAACTGCACATCAAACTGGACCCCCTGCTCCAGAGAGGGCCCTGGAGGTTCCAGTGTCCCAGCATGCTTTGGGAATGGAACGGATTATTCAGAACTGTTGTTTAGACAAGTGTTTGAGGGCTGAGGGTAATCAGTTTGACCAGAGACACTGGTTAAAAGAAAAGACTAACATGAAACCCCCCACCTCCCCTAACAGGCATCAGGTGGATTTGGGTGTAGAAACTACTGACTGACCTTACATGAGTTCAGAAACTTGCATTTGATTTCTCAGTTTCTTTTTCCTTTTCTCTCACACACAGAGTAACTCAATTATAACATGGACTTTTGTTGTCCTCCGTCTAACTCCTACCTTGTGTGTGTTTGTTGGTTTAGGTGGAGATCGATGGAGAGAAGGTTGAAGTGTCTGGAGAATGGAACTTGGCCTCAGCATTGCTGCCCATCACCATCAACGGCAAACACAGGACTCTCCAGGTTTGCAAACATGCATATGCATATATAGGGAATAGTTGACTCTGGTCCGTTATTGAAAAGTTATGATGAATTATTGATAAGTAATATACCTGACGTGGTAATATTTACACATGCATTTTTGCAACTGTCCAATCAATCCAGCTGTCCAGATGCCACATAAGGGCCAGGGTGATTCTGGCCCACCCAGATTGCTGATCGGTCCACTCAATCAATCAAATCTGCCAGAATATACTAGCGGTGTGGAAATAAAAGTTGCAAATTAACCACATCTGTTGTGTATACATTGGAAAGTGTATTTTTATAAATACGAATATACAAGATTTTTTTTTTTTTTTTGCTGATCCGCTCACAAGATTTGCGACTGCTGTTTAATGAATGCAGTGTGCAGAATGATTATTGGGTTAGTTAGTTTGACCCCATGTAGCCTGATTCATTCTGGTGAATTTGTTTGTTCGAATGGTTCTTGTAAATGTCCAAAAAGATTGAGCATTTCGAGTCCCAATTTAGGATTTCATGTCATTTTTATTATAATTATTGTCTTCAACTATGAAGCTTTTATGTTATTTATATTTTATTTTTTAAATTTATATTTAGTATAAATGTATCCTTTTGACTTTGATGTTGTAGCCCTAATTGGGATTGTTCATTGATTATATATCCATAATATTGCTGGATAGACAAAAACAAACATCTATCAACTTGGAGAATATTTGGCCTCGCCACTGATCCAGAGTCAATAATTCAACCTATTATGAGTCTCTTTGGAGTATTTGATTCTGATTGGTCAACTGTATTCAATTATTTATTTATTGTCTCTGAATGCAGTGCCTGTTGCGGACAGCGGCTGGAGAAATCTCCCTGCAGTATCTGGGCACTTCAGTAAGTCTACAAGCACCTTATAGTGGCATGAACTGTATGTCAGTGGTTCTTAACTCGTTTTACTTCAAAACCCAGATTATAGAGATGAAGTGGTGACCTAGCACAGAAGCAAAATCTGTCATATTAATCCAGATGTTTGGTCTTCATAGACCGTTCTAGTCTCAGATGGTTTTGTTTGTTATATGTCTGTAGTTCATCCTTAAGTTTTGTTTGTGTGAATTATTCAGTAGCTGCTCTTTTAACCATACAATAATGACTGATGTCACACCGAGGACAAAAACCATAATGAAAAATATAGTTTTAATAATCATTCTAATTCAGTGGGAATAGTGAAGTCCACACCACAACTATTATAATAATGACACAGACAAACAATAGCGTTGAAATCACTTTCAGAACAATTTTTTGTAAAGTATTTCATAATAATACATTTAATTTATATAATATTGATAATAATAATAATAAAGTGTTAATTTTAGGCCCTGGTTATAGTTATTGTTTTTGTTGTGAACGTGACTTAATACTATATGTTTGTGTTCATGAGCACTCTGTGGTGTTTTTCTGTGCACCTCATGCTGGGTGATATATGCTACATAATGTCGCTCACAGGGCCGTGTATCCTGTCTTTACACTCCAGTCGATCTGCCAAACACGCAAACACACAGACTCTCACACTCAGTGTGGTCAAAGCAACGCACAGGTGTCTCAACCCAGCTACAAATCAACTCAAGCCATCCCGTCTTTATTTACTCAAAGCCACCTAAACAATCAGCACCAACGTTTCAACAGCTTAAACAAACAAACAGGGTTAAAAACACAGTAACTCTGTAAAAGAAGAGGAAATGCCGGCTTCCAGGCTGCACACGCGTGTGCTTCATGGGGGGTCTCTGCTTCAAAGATCTTCTGAGGGGGTTTGTTTTAAAGTTTCCCTGGGGTCACGGCTATTATGAGATGCCTTCCGTTCATTCTGTGCTAACAGGTCAGTGGGGCTGTGGTCGTCAACGCTTGTCTGTTTCTCCATCAGGTCCAGCAGAAACCAGAGTTACTGTCAGAAAATTAATATAGATGTTTCTTCTCAGAAATGCTGTGAGACCATTAGTAGAGAACCTCATGCCGCAAACCGCCTTCCTTAACCCATTTCATGCCGAGTAAAAAGTCCCAGAAACAGTACCACACCTTTATTCATATTATAAATAATCAAAACTTAATCTTGATCTTATAGGCTGCATGTCAAATGAGCATATTGTCCATCTTAAATGGCATGCGAGATTAGTATTAGTGTGTCCCAAATCACAGTGCATTGAAAATTGTCAATGGTGCCAGGATGGTATAATGTTTCTGGTAGATTTTTTTTGACGTGTGCATATTTGCATGCTTTATGGGGTTAATGTCACCCACAACCCCTTGCTCTAGAATGGAGCATGATTTTGTGACAGTTTGCTTTACATTTCTTCAGTGTGTGTAGAACGCCTCCATGTGACAGCTGGGCAGACCTTGTGCATTCTGGCAGTCGGTTTATTAAAATATTCAGGTGCAGTTTCATTCCATGTTTTTTGCAGCACTTCCCATAGGTGTGATAGGCTTGTAGAGCACTTCGTGAACCTTGCAGGTGAACACCTCAAACTGCGATTCATCTGTCCTTAATTATTCCTATCCATTTACAATATCTGTCAGTAGCAGAGGTGGCACTTTCTTTGAAACTCTTGACTGTTTTGCTGATTGTATTTGGAATAGCCTTAGTCTCCCAAAACAGCAGCGTATGGACCAATGGGTTTCTAAAGGGGTTTCATTTTGGTCATTTTTTAAAATCAAAATTTGATTCACAAGTGTACAAGGACTTCAGTGCACTCAGTGCTTTAGCAGTTGAAAAAAGACAGTGTCTTGCGGTCTCCACATCATTATGCAGTGCAACTATGTTCAACTGTGCTGATAATAAGAATGTGTCTCGAATACCAATTCAGTACATTAGAATGATTTCTTAAGGATTATGTAACAGTGTTTTGTTGACTGAAGTAATGAATGCTGTAAATGGGGCTTTGCCATCACAGATTACAGATCTGCCGTATCCAAAGACTCTGCTGTTTAAGGTTCATGCTATTTTATTCACCTTTTTACTGAAATTGTTATACTGGTAATATGTCATATGCTTGGGAACAGTAAAATAAAATATTCAGCAAGGATGCATTTAATTGGTCAAAAGTGGAAGAGATTTTAAATAAATGCTAGATGAATGCTTTCTGTTCATGAAAAAATGAAAAAAAAATGAAAAAACTTTGTTTCATGGTTACCACAAATATATGAAGCATCACAACGGTTTTCAACATTGATAATAGGAAATGTTTCTTGAGCAGCAAATCAGCATATTAGAATGATTTCTGAAGGATCATGTGACACTGAAGGCTGGAGTAATGATGCTTCAGCCTTGCATGGCAGCAATAAATTACATTTTATATTATATGTGACCCTGGACCACAAGAGAGGAAAATTTTGGGATATTTGCAGTAGGAAATGTACAAAATATCTTCATGGAACATGATCTTTACTTAATATCCGAATGATTTTTGGCATAAAAGAAAAACCGATAATTTTGACCCATACAATGTATTATGTTTAAGGTTCATGCTATTTTATTCACCTTTTTACTGAAATTGTTATACTGGTAATATGTCATATGCTTGGGAACAGTAAAATAAAATATTCAGCAAGGATGCATTTAATTGGTCAAAAGTGGAAGAGATTTTAAATAAATGCTAGATGAATGCTTTCTGTTCATGAAAAAATGAAAAAAAACAAAAAAACTTTGTTTCATGGTTACCACAAATATATGAAGCATCACAACGGTTTTCAACATTGATAATAGGAAATGTTTCTTGAGCAGCAAATCAGCATATTAGAATGATTTCTGAAGGATCATGTGACACTGAAGGCTGGAGTAATGATGCTTCAGCCTTGCATGGCAGCAATAAATTACATTTTATATTATATGTGACCCTGGACCACAAGAGAGGAAAATTTTGGGATATTTGCAGTAGGAAATGTACAAAATATCTTCATGGAACATGATCTTTACTTAATATCCGAATGATTTTTGGCATAAAAGAAAAACCGATAATTTTGACCCATACAATGTATTATTGGCTATTGCTACAAATATACCTGTGCTACTTATGACTGGTTTTCTGGTCCAGGGTCACACATATTACATTAGAAAACTTTAAAAAAAAAAAAGTTGTTTATCGTTATTCAAGTTAATTATAAAAACTAATAAATAATTATATTTTAAATTTTTCCTGTCTTTACTGTATTTTTTGATCAAATAAATGCAGCCTTGGTGAGCATGGAGAATCAAAGGATTTAAAAAAAATCTAACTAACCCCAAATTATAATGTTGTTAATTGGTCATATAATTTGTACAGATAATGGAAAAACAGTCGAAGTAATTCCAGTCTTTGTTTTTATACATTTTAAATTCAAGTGCCCAACTATGTTGTGGTACTTCTCCTAAGCACATGCTGGCAGCCACTAAATATTTCAGTTGTGACTTCACCTTGTTGCTCAGAGATTTAGTGATTTGACCCCGGTCACAGAATCATCACCCTTCATCAGCCTGTGTGACCTGACTTCAGCACAATGATGTAAGGCTTCCTTGGTTGAATTCCTGGAAAGCAGACATATTCCCTTCAGAGTGATTAATGAGTGAGCCACCTTTTCCTTTCTGCTAAATATAGTGCAGAAATGACATCACTAATATACAAGGGGGTCTTCACAATGACACGCTGGTTAGGAAGTGCCACTGAGGGTGAGAAACCTGTAGGGCTTGTTTACACTTGTAGTTTGGTTCTCGATTTAGTCCCTAAATCGATCCATTTAGTCCTGGTTCACTTAGCGTTTACTCTCTCGTTTTTATTACAGAACCTAAAGATATAAAATAAAAGGCACAAGGATACAGCCACAACCTGATTGGACGGCTTTTATGAGGTATATTTAGCGACAGAGCTGAACGTCCAAAACAATGCCGTGTCCTGGGCTAAATGTGTTCGATGGATGTGTGTACATATGTGGGTATTTTTACCAGCCTGTAACCCACAAAGAGCTTATAAAATGTGTAAAGAAATCAACAGAGTGCCAGAAATGGGCAGAATTGCTGCACACATGGAGATCCGCTGCAAGGAGACAGCGATGCCTGTACTAAACTGTAATGGTAATGAGCTCATATAAGAACTATGAGTTCCAATGTTGAGAAGAAAATGTTTTTAGTTCGTTTGAACTGCAATTCAAAATTTGGGATCAGTAAGATGTTTAATGTTTTTTAAGGAAGTTTCTTATGCTAAACAAGGCTGTATCTATTGGATCAAAAATACAGAAGAAAACTGTCATTTTGTGAAACATTATTGCAATTTAAAATAACAGTGTTCTATTTGAATATACTTTAAAATCTAATTTATTCCTGTGAAGCAAAGCTGAATTTTCTGCATCATTACTTCAGTCTTCAGTGTCACATGACCCTTCAGAAATCATTAATATGCTGATTTATGTCAATATTTTTTGGGACCTGTGATACTTTTTTATTTATTTATTTTTTTTTAGGATTCTTTGATACATAAAAAGTTAAAAAGAACAGTGTTTATTCAAAATAGAAATTTGGGGTCAGTAAATTTCTTTTTTCTTTCTTTAAAGAAATTAATTCATTTATTCAATAGATAGTAAAGACTTGTATTGTTAGATAAGATTTCTATTTTGAATAAATGCTGTTCTTTTTACTTATTCTTTAAAGAATCAAAGAACAAAGTATAACATGTTCCCAAAAAATATTATGCAGCACAACAGTTTCAACACTGATAATAAATCAGCATATTAGAATAATTTCTGAAGGATCATGTGACACTGAAGACTGGAGTAATAGCTGCTGAAAATTCTGTGCTGCGTCACAGAAATAAATTATATTTCAAAGTCTATTAAAATAAGAAACCGATATTAGAAATTGCAATAATATTTCACAATATTACTGTTTTTTTCAGTATTTTTGATAAATATAATATAGCCTTTACATTAAAAACCTTGCTGATTCCAAACTCTTGAACGGCAGTAGATGTCTTTGGTCCACGTTGCGTTCATGTTTCAGTTGAACTGCACGAGTTTGTTTGGAAGTGGAAAATATGAGTGTCGGTCTGCTTGTTTGGTGTGCACCAGGGTTCGGATGGCAGCATTGGGACAGACAGTCAGAACATTGAAACAAATTTTCAGAAACTTTTTATATGTCATTTATATGAAGCTTTTTTCTAAGTGTTTGAGTTCTGTAATTGATGCTCTGGAGGTATGACCCCCCCTCAAATATCCATCTCACAACCCTCTCATCCCTCTATCCTGTAGTCGTGTCAGTGCCCTGTTCTTTATGTGACTGCATTAGTTAGCTCTTCATTTGATCTGCAGGCTGTATTGAGCTAATGGCTCTCCATTAGTGTCTGTATGGAGAGCAGGGGGCGGATGCTCTTGTGAGAGGGAGAGAGAGGTTGTGTGTGTTTGCGTTGGTAATCATTAAATTGACAAAACTGCTTTTCATTCATTGAGCAGTGCGGAGGGCCAGGCTTCACTCGTCTGTTAATTGAATTAGACTGGGCACTGACAGAGCCTTTCATCTGAGACGCAGAGAGAAATAAACCGTTAGCTGCCCAGCATGTGATTGGATACAGATTTGTGCTGCCATCTAAAGGTGAAGATGGGAAGCTCTGAAGAAAATCATGAGGGTTTTGCATGAGTAAAATGCAATCTCAAACCATTTCTTAGCAATTTGTTGTGAGCTGTGACATAAAAAAAAAGGACTGGGAACAGGTGAAACATATGCTATAATAAAATGAAATGTTGGTGATACTGTTCAGAAGTTTGGAGTCAGTAAGATTTTTTTTTTTTTTTTTTAAAGAAATGTAATACTTTTATACAGCAAATACACATCAAATGGATCAAATATGCTAGTAAAGACAAAAAATGTATTTTAAACAAAGAATCCTAAAAAAAATCTATCAAATTATTATACATTTTGAACATTGGTAATAAAAATAAATGTTTCTTGAGCAGCAAATCAGCGTATTAGAATGATTTTTGAAGGATCATGTAAAAATGAAGACTGGAGTAATGGCTGCTGAAAATTCAGCGTTGCATCACAGCATTTAATTACATTTTACTGTATATTTACATAGAAAATAGTTATTTTAAATTGTAATAATACTTCACAATATAACTGTTTTTACTGTATTTTGATCAAATAAATACAGCCTTGGTGAACAGAAAAGACCTCTTTCAAAAACATTTGAAAAATCTTACAAGCCAAACTTGTAAAACTTGGTTGGTAGTTTCTTTCAGTAAAACTGCATTCAGAATACACTACTAATTTTGAATGGCTATCAATGAAAGGATGCAGTTACAGGATCTAACAATGGGGTCTAATGGGGTCATTATAACCAAATAAACCATCACACTTTGTCTGATACACACTACACACAAAAATGACAAGAACTGGTGAAAATCAGCAGTTTCAAACATAAGGATGGCTGATGAGTCTGGAAACAAGTCATGTTTCAGAAGATGAATTACTCTTGTGGATTTACCAAAATTTATGAGATTTAAAAAAACGTTTAAAGGTAGTTAAAGCAAGAAGATTAAATATACATGGGCACAATGCATTGGTACGCTCTGCAGCATTTCCAAGTATCCGAAAGCCCTGCAAGCAAGTAATTTTCCATAATTTTTACAGGGCTGTTATTAAATGATCATTGATCTTGGTCTGAATAAGTTATAATGTGCACTAGACATTTTACTGCAAAAAAAAAATAAAAATTGGGTGAAATGAATGATCATTGATCTTGGTCTGAATAAGTTATAATGTGCACTAGACATTTTACTGCTACATTTTACTGTTTGTGTGTGGGTTCGATGGTAGTCTTTTGGAGTGTCTTTCATTCGTTTGGTTGTTTGTATCATCATAGTGTTCTTTCTTTAATTTGAGGTATCTGTGTAACCATTTCTCTGTTTCATGTGTTCAGTTTAAGCTGCGTGTGCTGAGTAATCTGGCAGCATCTCTCAGTAAGCACATGCCAGAGAAGGTTCCAGAAGACACCAGTAGTATCCTCCGCTCTCCCATGCCAGGATCTGTGGTGGCTGTGTCCGTTAAACCAGGAGATAATGTAAGACACTTCCTGGAAATACTGCAAATGCACTGCACAATCAGTAGAACTATATTTCTCCCCAATTCCCAGTTTGACATATGGATTCACATTTAATTTGGATTCTTCAGAGGTCTCTGGGTAATACTTTTAAGAAAGCTGATAGTAGTCAAATGCCAGGCACTTAGAAACAAGATGAAAAAGGATAGCTTGATATTAACAGTAAACATAGTATGCAAGTACACTTTACCTTGTGTTAGTTCACAGAGTGATAGTTCACCAAGAAATTAAAATGCGGTCATCATTTACTCATTATCTTCATGCAGCAAAAAAGCATAACACATATTGCTGATGTATCATTTTCCTAGTTTTCTGATCAATTTTGCTTGAAGAAAAATATTGAATAAAAATGCAGCCTGATATTGAAGCAGTTTTATATTGGTTTAAAAAAATCGGGAAAATGGTGCATTTCTGCCATCCACTGCCATGTATGGACCAATGGCAAAAGTTTGCAGTTTCCACTGAAATCTGCCTGGACAATTCTAAAATATAAATAATTATTATAGGCTTACTATTGTGATTCAGGATAAGGCAAAAACACAGTTTGGAAGATGGATTTATGATGTACTCACTCATTATTTAAAGGAATAGTTCACCCAAAAATGAAACTTTCCAGGAAATGTACTGACCCTCAGGCCATCTGAGATGTAGATGAGTTTGTTTCTTCATCAGAAACACATTTGGGGAAATTAAGCATTGCATTACTTGTTCACCAATGGATCCTCTGCAGTGAATGGGTACCGCCAGAATGAGAGTCCAAACAGCTGATAAAAACATCGCAATAATCCACAAGCAATCCACACGAGTCTAGTCCATCAGTTAACATCTTGTGAAGTGAAAAGCTGTGTGTTTGTAAGAAACAAACTCATCATTAAGACGTTTTAACTGTAAATCGTTACTTCCAGCTAATTTTAACCAAAAAACAATGACATGGTATAGCTTTAAAGGGGTCCTATTATGCTTTTTCACTTTTTTAATTTTAGTGTGTAGTGTGTATGTTTGCACAGCTGGGACAGCTAACCAATCACAACACATTTCGTTTTTTTCGAAAGGCGGGCCTTCATTAAAACCCAGAACTAATCGAGCCGTTTGTGCCAGGATGGGGAGAAAGGTATTTTAATAATGTAAATTATGTGAAAAATAATGCGTTTTTCGAACCACCAAGCATGAGAGCATGTTCTAGTACACCCCCAAAACAAAATCAAGACTTTGTAAAAGAGCATAATAGGACCCCTTTAAATACTGGGTTGTTTTTCGAACTTAAAGGAACAGTTCAACCAAAAATAAAAATTCTGTCATTAATTACTCACCCTCATGTCGTTCCAAACCTGTAAGACCTTTGTTCAGCTTCGGAGCACAAATTAAGATATTTTTGATGAAATCAGAGCTTTCTGCCCCTGCATAGACAGCAACACAACTGACATGTTCAAGGCCCAGAAAGGTAGTAAGGACATTATTAAAATAGTTCATGTGACATCCGTGGTTCAACCTTAATTTTATGAAGCTACGAGAATACGTTTTGTGCAAATAAATCGCTGAAAAAAGTCATTCTTTTTGTTTTCTTTGCACATAAAAAGTATTCTCGAAGCTTCATAAAATTAAGGTTGAACCACTGATGTCACATGGACTATTTTAACAATGTCCTTACTACCTTTCTGGGCCTTGATCGGGGTAGTTCCATTGCTGTCTATTCAGGGAAAGAAAGCTCTCGAATTTCATCAAAAATATCTTTGTGTTCTGAAGATGAACGAAGGTCTTACGGGTTTGGAACGACATGAGGCTGAGTAATTAATGACAGAATTTTCATTTTTGTGTGAATTATCCCTTTAACAATTTAAGCATTTCCAACAAGCCACTTTGTGCAGTTGCTTAAGTGAGTCGTTATGTGCTGCCATTGTATTAAATTCACCCAACCAGGTGTTCATTAAATGATCTCCTTTTGTGTTTCACAGAACAAAGAAAGTCATACAGGTTTAAAATGATGTTTAAATGAGGACAGATTTTTCTGTTTCGAATGAACTATTGCATTAAATAACGTGATTTGCATTAGGATGACATAATTTGTAAAGCTGACAGTGCACTTCAGAATGACAAAATGTCTGCGTGTGTGTGTGTGTGTGTGTGTGCGCGTGTTGCTGTCAACTTGAATTGAATGTGTCCTGACTCAGTTTGTTAATGACTTCTATATAATGCACAGACCGACTGGCTCCGGCTAATACATCTGAGCCCTTCCAGTAAAACATCTCATTCACTCAGCAACGTCACATACACAAGAGCACTGCAATGAAGAGCTCTCACACGGATTAGTCACCACACACACACACACACACACACTCGGCACACCACCTGATTTCGGCACTTCTGTATAGAGAAGACAGAAATGAGTCCTTGTGGATGGAGGGAAACAGCGATTCCTCAGCGCTCGCTTATTTCCATAATCCATTTCCCTAATGGAGAGTTTGATAGATATAAACAGAGGTTTCTTTATTGATTTTGTTCTCGCGTTACAGTGAGCTTTGTGCGTTTGTTAACTGTTATGACTCTTCTAATGCATGCGCCTTTATGAAATGATATTACAATATTCCCCTGCTCTTTGTGCTGAGGTCGTTTTATGTACTAGACCTGCACGAGTCTATGAACAGATGCTCTGTGAGTCATGTGTTTCAAGAAGTTATTAGAAAGTACTCATTGTGGAATAGCTGTTGAGGTTTATTCGTTCATTGGTGTTCTGAAGGTTGCAGAGGGACAGGAGATCTGTGTGATTGAAGCCATGAAGATGCAGAACAGCATGACCGCAGCAAAGACAGCCAAGGTGAGCTCACTCGCACACATACATAAGTTGATACACAATCCTCCTCACTACTCTGTGCATCATAAATCGATATGACATAAAGAACACACTCTTCCACATAGCTACATTACAATACCCAACACCATGAGAGAGAGAGAGACAGCGAGGGGCCGCGGTCCATTATCCACACTTGTATTCTGACCAGACCACTTAGCTACTGTAAAAAGTCTCCCTCCTTGTAAGACGACTAAAACCAGATTATGGTTCGTTTGATGGTTGGCGGGATATTTTATTGTACTTCATGTCAGGGTTGTTATATATAACTAAAACTAAAACCATAAAAAAAACATTTTATCTAAAACATTTTTACATATAAATTTTTTTCAGCTAGTTGCCAAGACATTTCTCATTTTGACTTAAAGTGATGTATTTGATGTACTAATATAACTAAAACTAATAATAAAACTAAATCTTAAAAATCTATAAAAAAAAACCTATATAGACATAAAAAAAAAAACAATAAAAATGACAGAAATTACTAAAACTAAAGTAAAAATGCAAAATATAGAAATATAACATTACAAATATTACTGAAAACTCTAAAGTTATTTGCACACCTTGCACAAATTCTCGTCCGAAATGTTCGCATGTTAAAAAATAAATACGACCTCGCGTTGCGTCAATCACGTTTACACACTGCCTCCGAAACTTTCGTCCATCATAAAAAAATTCGGATCAGGTTCGATTTTCTGCGTTTTCGCATCCGTAGCAAGCATTTTGATAGGAAAGAATGACGAATACGGAAAAAAAACAACGAAAAAACACATATGGAAATTTCGGACTCGGTGTGCAAAGACCTTAATATTATCTCAGTGATTCTAAAATAATGCACCTTCATGCATCATTGTATTTTTCTTCAAATATTTCTCAAGGTTTGTAGTAGTTTGTAGAATCACTAAAGCATTAACACAGGTTGTATCCAAAAAGTCTTAAAATTATTCAAATCTAATTTATAGAAAAAGTATAAATAAACAATTACTTTAAAATTACCCTAAGGGCCCAAATATGGAATATTTATGGAAGCATTAGTTAGTTTGTTAAATCGTTTTTTCCATTGTTTCTCTGGAAAGCTTCCTGCGTCCAGTGTGTTTGACTGACATTACTGACTTCAACACAAATAGCTTTTTCAGATGCAGAAATGTTGGACTTTCCTAATAAAATGTGTGTTAATGTTCAGGTGAAGAGTGTGCACTGTAAAGCTGGAGATACAGTCGGAGAGGGAGATCTACTGGTGGAACTGGAGTAGCAGATAATCAGTCGCCGTGGATAAGCAATCAAAGACACTAGTAGACTAGATGGAACATTTTTTACATTATCACTATAATGTATCCATCTCCCTGGGATCTAGCTGGATTCCAGTGAAGGAAATGTCAAAACACTTACACTCTCTCGTGCCTTGGCCCTCCGTTGGAGGTGTTTTCATTTCACATGGAACAAACCACAATTTGACATCAGCAGCAGTGAATGAGTTTGAACGCATCTTCAAATGCAGTCAGTCAAAGCAGTTGACACTCTCTCTACTCTCTGTGTTGATTTAGCATTGTTTAGAGGAAGTGCTGTGAATGTTTTGCATTGCTGCAACTCATTTTTAATTATAAGGTTATATTATGCAATGATTTTTCTGCTCCATGATTATTCAAGAATAATATAGGCCTATTCACTCGTCTACAAATCACCAATCCCACACTCGTCTATTTAAGTGTTTCCATAGAACTTGTACCTCATTTCTGTCATCAAATGCATTAAACTCAATTAGTGATTATTTCTGCACTTAGGTCTGTAGGTGCACTGTTCAAACACTTCATTTGCTTGGGCTTTAATTGTTCAGTCGTTTCCTCTCTTTCTAAAATTGTGAATCCGGAAGGAGCGGACCATTAACAGAAGGAGAAGGCAGATATGATTCCTCAGAAACTAACAGACAGCTGTGGTCAGGCTTGGAGGAGGCACTTAGATACGCTTTCTGTCTGTACTTGTTTTGAGAAAAAATAAAGTGTTATAATAAAAATGGGATTAATGTAAACATTCCAAGTGCTCATGATTGCTTGAAGCCCTAGGCTTGGGAAGGAAACGCATGAAATGCATTACTGAAATGCATGATTTGATTGAATGCTGTGTGGCAGCAGCTATTTCCAGAAGAGAAACAGACGCATACAACAGTCAAGCCAGTTTGATTTGTCTTTTTTTTTTTTTTTAATGT